CGGCGCGCAGTCATTGTGAGGGGCACTGACGGCGGCCGGCGGGAGGGGCACCGAGTGGGCGGCCGGCCCGAGGGCTGACGGGGTGATAGAGGTAATGCGGTTGGGAGAGAATTCTGGAAAACGTCCTGTTGGGTTCTGATTATGTTTCACGATTGAGTCCCGTTCTTGTAGATGAGGCATCTTTGGCTGGAAGCAGTCAAGGGGTTTGCTCAAACTTTCTCAAATTAATACATGGCAGGATTGGGTTGGACTGAACACCAGTCTTAGGAACTCTTTCCAGTTCTCTTCGGCTGCCACTTTATATAGAGGTCTAATGTTGCTCATTTTGAATATACGTGCGAAATGACAGTGAATAAGATGATTTAAAATGACACAACCGGGGAAGGAAACATCAGAACATTTTTGAATATACCAAACCAAAAAAAACCCCAAACCCATTGCCATCGAGTCGATTCCGACTCATAGCGACCCTGTAGGACAGAGTAGAACTGCCCCACAGGGTTTCCAAGGCTGTAATCTTTAAGGAAGTATTCTCCCACAGAGCAAGTGGGTTCAAACCGCTGACCTTTCAGTTAGGACAAGGCTTTAACCACTGCACCACCACGGCTCCTTAAAAGTGGAGTTAAGGGCTAGTATTTACCCAGTAAATTTTGATTGGTCTGACTAGGCAATACACCATATTACACAAAAGGAAAGATCTGTACAGCTGTTCCACACGATTTGATAAGGTATCAAAATAGTATCTTAAAGTCATTAAAGTGCATTAATATGCCAGTATATTTCACTATAATCTGGAGAGAACATTTCCATACATCAGTTTTAGGTGTTGGCTATATTTATAAACTATATATGGTTAGAGAGAGAAGGGTTAGTTCTGTTGCTAACATCTATTGTCCAGGGTTGGGGAACGCAAAGTTTAGGAAGATTGTCTCTTTCTCCAATATCCTGTCACCTGGATCATCAAAACAAACCAACTCTAAGCCTCATCTGGCTTCTTCACACACCAGGGCCCAACCAACTCGCTGCTCAAAATGTATACGCTTGCCTTTTTCCCAGAAGAGGAAGATTCTATACAGCCTCATTAGTTGGTAAATTGGTAATGGATAGGGATTGATGAGAAGTGTGAGCACAGGGAAAGGAATTGGGACAGAACAAAAAGAGAAAAATGACTTTTTTCTTCCTCCAACTGTATCTGGTTTTGCTTACCAACTCTGGGAGTCACTTGCCTTTTTCTTCTTGAGGGGAGAGTCATCTACTATTGCCTATAACATTATAGAGAAATTCAAGAACAATCACACTGGATATATTAAGTTGACAGCTAAATGACCATAGACTTGTGAGATGATCCATTCCAGAGGACTCCCCATTCAAATAAGGTATCCATATAAGTGACTGCAAGAGAAGTAATTTGGAACATGAAAATATGAAAATCGATAATTCAAATTTGTTAAATTGGAAATGCCACCAAAATTCTACAACACACCTATTAGAAAATATTCAAAGTATGTCTTCATTCAAACTTACAACTTGATCCCATTTACGTTTATAATCTGTTATTTAACTTCTTTCTGATATGTGGGTGTTTAAAACAAATCCTGAATACAGCTGTCTTATTTTCATCCAAAGCTATATTTAATTGCCCAAATAAACTAAATAATGTCCATTTTGTTTTGCCACTTATCCAGATTTGGCCTTAATTAGCCACATGTAAGTATTTGAGGAGAATGTTTGACCTGAATTACCTGAAAAATTTAGACTACTTCAAGATTTCAAGATAAGTAGTCTAATTTAGACTATTACAAGATAGGTATCCTAATTAAACATAAACTTGGGAAGATCTTTCTTTGCATAAAATTAAGGATAAAAAAATTAATGAAAGATTGTTAGTTCTGCCCACATAAAAAATCAAAATAATAGACATAAAATTAAAATGCAAATGATGAATTGGGAAAGATATCTAGTTAATAACCCTACTGTTGCCAGGAACTCCAGGTCCTGCTCAGTGTGACTCATCACAGCCAATAAACAAGAGGCTGAGGTGGGAGATCAGGAAAGCATCTTTATTTTGTTGCACAAGGAAAGGAAGAGTCGGCGCTGATGCCCCCAAGACTGGTCGAGGATAGGGTTTGGGAGGCCGCTTTTATAAGGCTTACAAGCAGGGAGATCACGTGAATTACATTAGCAACATTCTAAATCATGCTATGCAGGCACAGTAGGGGTCACGTATAACTTCATACATCGCGTGTTCAAAAATGGCAGCCCATCTCTGCCCAAAAGGCAGGGAAGTTACTATGTATGAGGTACTTAATGAGCGAAAAGTTTACCCAGAATGTTAACATGGCACCTAAACCAGTTTCAGCCAATTTCATCTAATTCTGGGCAGCAGTTAAGGAAAGGGGAACCAGGATGTTAATGTAAAGCTATGGGGCGTGTCAAGCAAGCTGCTTGAGACACAGGAAACCTCTGTCTTACTACTATATACAAGAGCCCTTAAAAATCAGTAAAAGATAACCCTACCACAGAAAAACAAGATTAGTCAAGTCACAAAAGAAAACCCAATATCTAACAACAACAAAAGTATTCACTCTTTGTAGTAAATCAGTCATTTTTTTTAACCTATCAAATTGAAAAACATTTCAGCACTAGCAAGGGAGCATGGAAATGAACACTCAAACTCCTGGTGAGGTATCACCTTCTAGAGAGCAATCAAAAAGCCTTGGTGTTCATAACCTTTGACCTGAGAGTTCCAGTTCTAGGAAACCATAAGCATTGTACAAGATTTGAGTACAAATGTTCACGGTGGGCACCTATACTAGCAAAAAAGAAAAAAATACATATATATCAAGTAGAGGACTGATTTGATTATAAAGTTTAATCAAATCAGAGTGAACACTGCAGTTAGTAGGGGCAGTCCTACTCTGTCCTATAAGGTTGCTATGAATCAGAAATTGACAGCAATAGGTTTGGTTTTGATTTTTTGGGTGTGTATACACCTATATGGAAACCCTGGTGGCCTAGAGGCTAAGAGCTACAGCTGCTAACCAAAAGTTCAAATCCACTAGGCACTTCTTGGAAACTCTATGGGGCAGTTCTCCTGTCCTACAGGGTAGCTATGAGTAGAAATAACTCAATGGCAATGGGTTTTTTCTTTTTGGTTTATATACCTATATACATATCCTTCCAGCAGCAGCCACCTACCTCCATGGCCACTAGCACCCAGAATCTTGATTTTCCCTGTGATACTAAGTATCAAAAGTCTAGTACTCCCTTTGCTTCAAATAAGTTCTTTCATGAGAACTTCATATGTTCTAGTGCTCCCTCTAACAATGGTTAACTCTCTCCTTTTTCCTCCTTTCACTATTAACTTAATGAATCTATACCCCAAAACCAAACCGCTTGCTGCCAAGTTGATTCCGATTCACGGCAACCGCGTTAGAGAAAATGAACAACATAGGGTTTTCTTGGCTGTAATTTTTACGGAAAGCAGCCCTGGTGGCATATGGAAGCATATCACAATGGCATCACTGAGTGGGTTCAAACCACCAACCTTTTGGTTATTGGTTGAACGCAACTGTTAGCGCCACCCAGGGACCTCTCAATTTATACCCACTGCTTCTAAAATAAACTTGTAATTTGTGAAATGCTTTCAACACATATAAACTAATTTGATTCTCTAAACTCTTTGTTTTTTGTACTCTTTTTTGAGCTAAGAAAACAAGGTCAGAGATTGGTCTTTCCTAGGCTTCATTAACTCTTGACTCAGAGACTGGAATCTCAGTAAGGTATTTTCTCTTCTACCAGTCAAACCCTACTTTACCAACCAGAAACTACTCTCAAAGTGGCCAATGCTTTGTTATACAAGTAATAACCCAATAAATCTGTCTAAATTTCAGAAGCTTTGTTAAACCACAATTTTAATCCAAGACAGTAGGCCTAAACCTTAAATGTGCTAAGTTTTTAATACCAAATGAGCTTTGAAAAGAAAAACAGAAATAGATGAGTTCTGATGTTTTATTTAGAAACGCACAGACACCACTGAATTCATAAAAAATCCTTGGCATTTAATTTTTCTCTTTCTTTTAAATGCCACACTAATTAGACAGTCCTGGATAATAAAAGTACTTACAAACTGAATAGAAATTAAATACAAAATAACTGAAAAACAAATTAGTTATCATATTGATTCATTTTGCATTCCCACTGTTCACCTTCTGTTTCATTTTTCTTTGCCGTTTGTATATCCTTTTCTTTCTTGCTTTCAAATCAACTTTTGGTTCTGGTTTTACCCACTCTATTTCTATCGGTTTTTCCTCAGCTGGTATAACAAAAACATCTGCAGTGGGATCATGTGGAAGAATAGTCTTTGGTTCTTTCTTTCTCAGTTTCTGCACATCTTTGACTTGCTGTTTCTCTTTGTATTTCGCAGCTGTGATGGATCTTATGATACGGCGATGCTAGAAACAGAAAAACGTCAGATGCTTTTGAAATAAAAATAAGCATTTTATGTAAGGCAAGGGCATTCACTTCTGAGACCCATTTCCCACCACCCTGTTTCATTAAAAAAAATAAAATAAAAGCAGTAATCTGCAAGACTATATGCAGCAAAACCCAACCCTTTAATGCCGTTTCAGTTACTTCACAGAATCATTTTGACCAAAGAGAGTTCTGGTACACCAGAGACCACTGAAAAACAAATAGCTTACCATGTTTGGTGACTGGTAGTGAGGATTTTCATATAAAGTCGGTCCTCCAAAACTTCCCTGGAAAATCTTTATGAGATTTAAGACAAAACGAGGTCCTATTTCTACAAGAGCAGCATCTTCCTCTATAATCTTTAATAAAAAGGAAACATTTCATTTTGGATATTCTACTCTTAAAAGGTATACTGGCTATAACCTCACTACAGATGTGTCTAAAAGAATAATCAATAAAATTAAGCTAGTGTTAGTAAACTGGCAAGTGGCAAATCATCAGTATTTTCTGAAATGTGTATTAGTTGCAGGTAATTGTTACAGAAAAATATACAGCTTTTTCCTGCATGTTCTTTTAAAATGGAGTAATATGAATTTGTTACAAATGTATCTTGCTTCTCACAATCCATATATTCTGGAAAAACTTGTTAAAGTGAATTTTAAAAACCCTAAATAAAATGTATTAATGTACACTGTGGGAAGTCCCTTTAAATTTACACCAACTCCTAAACTGTTTATAAATCTACCTAGGATTAAAAGGTATACAAAAAGATACATGGTCAATAACAAATGTTGGAGAGGCTGCAGGGAGATCGAACTCTTATGCACTGCTGATGGGAAGCAAAATGATGCAACCATTTTGGAAAAAGGATATGGCACTTCCTTAGAAAGCCAGAAATAGAAATACCACATGATCCAGCAATCCCACTCCTAGGAATATATCCTAGAGAAATAAGAGCCGTCACACGAATAGACATGGACACCCATGTTCATTGGAGCATTGTTCACAATAGCAAAAAGATGGAAACAAGCTAGACGCCCATCAACAGATGAATCGATAAACTATGGCACATACACACAATGGAGTATTATGCAATGATAAAGAACAATGATGAATCTGCGAAGCATCTCATAACATGGATGAATCTGCCAAGCATTATACTGAGTGAAATAAGTCAATCACAAAAAGACAAATATTGTATGAGACCACTACTGTAAAAACTCATGAAAAAGTTTACATGCAAAAAGAAACAATCCTTGATGGTTACAGAGAGGGGAGGGGTGGTGGGGGGAAACACTAAATAGACATATAAGTGGTAACTCTGGGGAAGGATGAGACAGTACACAGTACTGGGGAAGCCAGCACAACTTGTACAAGGCAAGGTCATGGAAGCTCCACAGACGCATCCAAACTCCCTGAGGGACCAAATTGCTGAGCTGAGGGCTGTGGGGACCATGGTCTCAGAGAACACCTAGCTCAACTGGCATAACATAGTTCATAAAGAAAATGTTCTACATTCTACCTTGGTGAGCAGCGTCTGGGGTCTTAAAAGCCTGCGAGTAGCCATCTAAGATACTCCACTGGTCTCACCCCTTCAGGAGCAAGGGACAATGAAGAAAACAAGACACAGGGGAAAGATTAGTCCAGAGGGCTAATGGACCACAACTACCACAGCCTCCACCAGACTGAGTCCAGTACAACTAGATGATGCCCGGCTACCACCACTGACTGCTCTGACAGGGATCACAACAGAGGGTCCCAGACAGAGCTGAGAAAACTGTAGAACAAAATTCTAACTCACAAAAAAAAGACCAGACTTACTGGCCTGACAGAGACTGGAGAAACCCTGAGAGTATGGCCCATGGACACCCTTTTAGCTCAGTAATGAAGTTACTCCTGCAGTTCACCCTTCAGCCAAAGATTAGACAGCCCCATAAAACAAAATGAGACTAAGGGGGCACAACAGCCCAGGGACAAGGACTAGAAGGCAGGAGGGGACAGGAAAGCTGCTGATAGGGAACCCAAGGTCGAGAAGGGATACTGTTGACATGTGGGGTTGTTAACCAATGTCATAAAACAATGTGTGTACTGTTCAATGAGAAACTGTTCTGTAAACCTTCATCTAAAGTACAATAAAAAAAGAAAATAAATAAAAATGTAAAAAAAAATGATCAAATTGGTTACTGATTGTAGAATTAAGAGGCAACTTCCGAACTACAAATACTAACATTGTTAGTTCAGGTCTGTCTGACCTCAGAGGTCAACCAACCAACCAACCAGTGGTTGGTGAGTCAATTCCCACTCACAGTGACCTCATGTGTATCAGAGTAGAAAGTCCTCCATAGCGTTTAAAATGGCTGCATTTGGGGAAGTAGATTGCCAGGCCTTTCTTCCAGGGAAACTCTGGGTGGACCTGAACGTCTAACCTTTTGGTTAGCAGCCAACAGCATTAACTGTTTGCACCACCCAGAGCCCTCAAGAGCTTAAGTGGTATGTTTAACTCACTTTATAAAGTATTCAGTGTAACAATATAGGCAGAAAATTCTGTTCTTGCTGTTCCCTTTCACTGCTCTACCTGTCTGCAGACTCATTACCCTGCCAAAATCTCCTGCTTGAAGATTTCTAGAATTCTCTCTCCTAAATGAGTCACCGTATGACTCATCTTTCTTACTGAATGCCTTCTAAAGGAGTTATGGTTTTCTAGGTCTTAATGCCACAGGTGAAATACAATCTCTTATGAAAGAAGCTTACACTTTATATTCTTTACAGCACTTAGCACAAATCTGAAGCCAAATTAGCTCATGGATCTTCAGACTATTCCCTTTTTCTTTTATAAACTTAAATGTACAATGGCTTGTTACGAAGCCTATCAACTGATCAGCAGTGAAAAGTAGCAGAGATCACTTAGGTGTGAGATACTAGAAAATTTTTTGCTGCAAGTCTCTGGGAAAAACAATGCTATTTAAAAGAAGATAATTTATTATTTGCATTCTGTGTCTGCAAACCCCGTATATCCTGGTTTATTTCAAAGTATAGCTAAAGATTTAATAAAGCTAACCTGAAAGTTCCGAAACCATATCCTATTATCCAAAATGGTGAAAGTGAACACATGGTCCACAAATGGCTGGCTTTTGGGATGATAGCGTGGTGTACAAAAGATCTAGTGAAGAAAAACATAGGTTAGTTTTTTATTCCAAGACATACCATGTATGTTTTAGATAGCTAAGTTAACAAAGAATCCAAAGGAAGATACTCATTTATAATAGATTACCAAAAAAAAAATTTCTAAGAAAGATATTTACCTGAATTAAGAGTTCTTTTAACAAAGCATAATGTGGTAATTCATCAAACGCCTATAAAATAAAGCAAACATATAACTGGACAACCGCAGAGTACCTTGTTTAAAGATACTGTGTGTGTATGTTTAATGTTAGCCAAATTATACAACTATATTCACTAAAAAAACAACCACACAGAGTAAGAAAATTAGACCACATACACTGAACAAGAAACTTACAGGGTCAAAAGACAAAAGGGGTCGAGAACCTTTCAAACAGTTTCCAGTCATCTTTAGTTCAGCTAAGGTATGAACTAGAAGGAAAAAATAACAACAAATAATTATAACTTCGGTACAATTATTTCAAAAGATAATTTTCTCATAAAAAACTTAATATTGAATCAACTTACTATTTTGCACAAGGAATTTAGCAGATGGCCCATGAGGTGAATTTGAAAGCCTAAATAAAATATATGAAGGAAGCTTTTCAATATTGGAATTAGAATACATTAGATGCTCACTAGCTATTCAGAGAAAAGAACCACATATGCTTATATATTCATGTATTTAATTTTCTTTGAAGGTTTCAAGTTTTACAAAATCAAATGAGTTTGCTTCATCCCCCTCTCCGCCTTTTTTCATATAAAAGACTCAGAGGAGTCTATAACATGAGAAGTTCAAAGAATAAATCCAGTTAAACAAGTTCCGCTCAAATCTTACTGAGTATATTCTCTTACCACATATATAGATCCTGTTTTTTCTTGGCTTCAAAATATATACACTTATTGCAGTTTTTCATTTCACAGACCTACGTGAAGCAAAGTATAGAAAAATGAGGTACATTATAAAAATAAGAACTTAAGTAATTCGATACAATTAATAATCCAGATTCCTCCAAAACTATTTAAGCAGATGAACAGGCTACAATGGTCGAAATCTAGGTAAAAGTTCTGCCCAAGATAAACGAAATGGTCTGCCCACTGCTGATGGAAAAAAGAAACCAACCCTACTTCAAGTTAAATTAAAACTCAAAATCTTAAAGGTTTATTAAAAACACAAAAATACAGGATGGTGATGGTTTCACAACATGGTGAATGTAATTAACGTCACTGAATTGTACATGTAAAAATGGTTGAAACTGAAAATGTTTTGTAATGTATCGAACCAAAATAATTTTTTAAAAGAAATATAGGAACAAAGTCTTGTTGTATAACTGCAGTATTTGCAAACTCTCAACTGATTTAGAAAAAACAAACCAAACCCGGTGCCATCAATTCCGACTCATAGCGACCCTATAGGACAGTGTAGAACTGCCCCACAGAGTTTCCAACGAGCAGCTGGTGGATTCAAACTGACAGTAGTCGTAAGTTTCTAAACTACTTAAGATGTTAAACCTGAAGCTAAAGAATTCTTAGCTCCAATGCTTTCACTTCCTATTTGTCTTAGACACAGCACTAAGTTTGTGCCACCTCTGCACCTTTGTACTTCCATTTCCTCTACCTAGAATGCTCTTCCACCATATTGCTCCTTCACTGCAGTCTCTGCTGAAACATCCCGTTGAACATCATCATCCCTTCAGAAAGCTTTCCAATCCCACCTCGGTTGCTGAAAACCCGCAGCTTATTTTATTTTTCATATCGCCTCTTGAAATTACAATACTTCTTTATGGCCTGTTTCCCCCTTAGAACATAAACTCCATGATAACAGAGGCTTTGCTTTGTTGAACACTGTATCCACAGAATGCAGAATAATGCTGTCATATAGCAGGGGCTAAAAAATTTGTGTAAATGAATAAAAAGTCCTATAGCTAAAAAAAAGAATTAAAATAATTCTTTGAAAACTTGAAAAATTTGCTTTAAAAATGCAAGATTAGTATCTCCAGAAATATTTTAAAATTTAACCTATTACTAGTTTGTAACTGGGCAAATCTGCTGCAAAAGACCTCTTTAAAGTGTTAAAAAGCAAAAACATCATTTTAAGGACGAAGGGGTGCCTGACCCAATCCTTGATGTTTTCAATCACCTCACATGCATGTGAAAGCTGGACAATGAATAAAGAAGAACTGACACCTTTGAATTATGGTGTTGGTGAAGAATACTGAATATAACATGGACAGCCAGAAGAACAAACATATCTGTCTTAGAAAAAGTATAGCAAGAATGCTCATTAGAAGGATGGCAAAACTTTGTCTCACATACTTTGGACATGTTATCAGGAGGGACCAGTCCCCGGAGAAGGACATCATGCTTGGTAGAGGGTTAGCAAGAAAAATGAAGACCCTCAAGGAGATGGACTGACACTGTGGCTGCCAGTAATGGGCTCAAACGTAGCACATTGTGAGGATGGCGCAGGACCAAGCAGTGTTTCGTTCTGCTGTAAACAGCGTCACTGTGAGTTGGAATCGACTCAATGGCACCCAATAACAACAATACTTTAACAGCAAATACCACGTGTCATTTTTAATACTGGCAAGATGCTTTTCACAATCTGAGTTTTCTGTAAATGTTTAATGGGTATTTTTTTTTAAAAAAACTTTATTACATGTTAACTGATAATTTTTATGAATGCCTACTATGAACTGGGCAGTGTTTTGTTCTGTTGTACATACGGTTGCTATGAGTCAGAACCGACTTGACAGCACCTAACAACAACTGTGAATTTAGCACTATACTATTTGTTATGGGAGAAATAAAAGAATTTCCTTGTCCTCAGGAAATTTCACTATACTTGTTGAGACAAGACAAATACAGTCGTCCCCCTTTATCGGCAGGGTATACATTCCAAGACCCCAGTGGATACCTGAAACCACAGATAGTACTGAACTCTACATATACTATGTTTTTTACTATACCTACATACCTATGATAAAGTTCAATTTATAAATTAGACACAGTAAGAGATTAAACAACAAGAATAAAATAAAACAATTATTAAGTAAAATAAGAGTTACTTTAACACAAGCACTGTTAAATGGGATGCTACGAGACTCGTCACACTATTCAGAAAGGCACACGATTTAAAAGATATGAATTGTTTCTTTCTGGAATTCTCCATCAAATATTTTCAGACCATGGTTGTCCACAGGCAACTGAAACCATGGTAAGTGGAACTGCGGGTAAGGGGGCACTACTGTATAGAATAATCTAAAAATAAAAATATATACTGAAGAATTGAACCGTGAGATGTAACCAGTATAAAAATTTAGATAAATTATTGAAGAGTTAAGAGTTAAGAAAATTTGTCTGAATATCTTTTACAAAGCAATTTAAGTCACTGAATAACTTAGTTTTTACACGAACCATCTTTCAAAAACATTTTATTCCTAAATACAGTATTCCTAAAATATTTTACTGTAATGACTTTCTAAAATTACCTCATTAATCACGAATAACTTATCTTTACGATCCATTTTAGTATCTGTAAAAAGAAAAGGAAAAAAGTAAGCAGATAAAAGGAGTTTTCAAAGCTATTTTAATCAAATCCCATATCCTGTCTAACAAACAGGTTTCTACGGTCTTCCGTTTAAATGCAACTTTACTATTTATAAACTGATTAGACCAAAAAATACCTGACCTCTTTAAATCTTGGTTCTTTCTTAAATGTAAAGAATTGAGTGATTAAAATTCTCACAAACTGAAGGTTATGTTAAGAAAACACTCAAGAAACTAACATCTTAATCGATGAAAATACCAATTTTGATTCATCATTGCCTGATTAAAAAATGGTTTTAGATTATCATAGACCCCAGTTCAAGAAATGCTGGTTTAAAGATGTAAGTCATCACCTAGAATTAAAACCCACAGCACCTCCCAACACAGACACAAAAACAACTGCACAGTTAAGATGAAACCTTCTTCACTTGCCTGTAAGACACTTCATTGCTGAAAAAATAGTTTGGCATTCAAAAGTACATTGACCCAAACTTTGAGGTCCATTAATCAAAAAAAAAACCTACCTTAGGTTTATTAATTAAAAAAAAAAACCTGAAAAAGCAATCTATGAAAGTACTAAATCATTCAGAAGGATAAACCATTCCATGCATCTCATGACCTCTGAGAGATTTATATCTTGAAGGCATTCCTGGACCTCCAAACATTGTTTCAAAAATATTACAGTATTTTGTTAAAAAAGTGAAGAAAATGTCTGATGCATGTTAGAAAGAATTTTTAACAATGTTAATTGGAAAAAAACTTGGCTCTTGAAAGGATAAACTTCTGAGATATCATGGTTCTTTATCTGACTGGTTGAGCAAATGAAGTGTTATTAAAAGTGGATACACACACATACACACACAAGGAGCCCTGGTGGCACAGTGGTTAAGTGCTGAGCTGCTAACCAAAAGGCCAGTGGTTTGAACTCACCAGGGACTCTACAGCAGAAAGATGTGGCCGTCAGCTTCCGTAAAGATTACAGCCTTGAAAACCTTATGGGGCAGTTCTACTCAGTCCTATAGGGACGCTATCAGTTGGAATCTACTGGATGACAATGTGTGTCTATATACATACATATACATATGTATACATATATATACACACACACATATATATATATATAGACACACAGGAGATATCAAAGGGTGGCTTGAGAGGACAAAGGATTATAATGACATGTGCAAAGACTTGTAGTTAGAAAACCAAAAGGGAAGAACACGCTCAGCATTTCTCAAGCTGAAAGAACTGAAGAAAAAATTCAAGCCTCCAGTTACAATACTGAAGGATTCTACCGGGAAGATATTAAACGATGCAGGAAACAACAAAAGAAAATGGAAGGAATACACGGACTCACTACATCAAAAAGAACTGGTCGATGTTCAACCATTTCAGAAGGTAGCATATGATCAGGAACCAATAGTACTAAAGGAAGAGCTTCAAGCTGCACTGTAAGGCATTGGCGAAAAACAAGGCTCCAGGAATTGATGGAATACCAATTGAGCTGTTTCAATAAACAGATGCAACGCTGGAAGTGCTCACTCAACTATGCCAAGAAATATGGAAGGCAGCTACCTGGCCAATCGACCAGAAGAGATCCATATTCACACCCATTCCAAAGAAAGGTAATCCAAAGGAATGTGGAAAGTATCGAACAATAATAGCATTAATATCACATGCAAGTAATATTTTGCTAACGATCATTCAAAAGTGGCTGCAGCAGTACATCAACAGAGAACTGCCAGAAATTCAAGCCAGATTCAGAAGAGGACGTGGAACGAGAGATATCACTGCTGACGTCAGATGGGGCCTGGCTGAAAGCAGAGAATACCAGAAAGATGTTTACCTGTGTTTTATTGACTATGCAAAGGCATTCGACTGTGTGGCTCATAACAAACTATGGATAACATAGCGAAGAATGGGAATGCCAGAATACTTAATTGTGCTCATGAAGAACCTGTACGTGGATGGAGAGGCTGTCAGTAAAACAGAACAATGCAAAACTGCGTGGTTTAAATTCAAGAAACGTGTGCCTCAGGGTTGTATCCTTTCACCATACTTATTCAATCTGCATATTAAGCAAATAATCCAAGAAGCTGGACTATATGAAGAAGAATGGGCCATCAGGACTGGTGGAAGATTCATTAACAACCTGCCTTATGCAGATGACACAATCTTGCTTGCTGAAAGTGAAGAGGACTTGAAGCACTTACTGATGAAGAAGATTAAAGACCACAGCCTTCAGTATTGATTACACCTCAACATAAAGAAAACAAAAATCCTCACAACTGGGCCAATAAGCAACGTCATGATAAATGGAGAAAAGACTGAAGTTGTCAAGGATTTCATTTGACTTGGATCCACAATCAACATCCATGGAAGCAGCAGTCAAGAAATCAACAGATACATCGCACTGGGCAAATCTACTGCAAAAGACCTCTTTAAAGTGTTAAAAAGCAAAAATGTCACCTTGAAGACTAAGGTGCACCTGACCCAAGTCATGGTTTTTTCAATTCAATCGCCTCATATGTATGCGAAAGCTGGACGATGAATAAGAAAGACCAAAGAAGAATTGATGTCTTTGAATTGTGATGCTAGCGAAGAATACTGAATATACCATTGCCTGCCAAAAGAACAAACAAATCTGCCTTGGAAGAAGTACAACCAGAACGCTCTGTAGAAGCAGGGATGGTGAGACTATGTCTCACATACTTTGGACATGTTATCAAGAGGCATCAGTCCCTGAAGAAGGGCATCATTCTTGGTAAAGGAGAGGGTCAGTGAAAAAGAGGAAGACCCTCAAGGAGATGGACTGACACAGTGGCTGCAACAATACACTCAAGCATAACAATGATTGTGAGGATGGCGCAGGACCCGGCAGCGTTTTCATTCTGTTGTACACGGGGTTGCTACAAGTCTGAACCGACTCAACAGCACCTAACAGTAATATATACACACACACATGCATACATATTTATAAATACAAATTTTTTAAGTATATGATATAAAAGCACCTGCTTTAGAATGAGGCATCAACATTCTTAAGTCTTGCATTAAGTGTCTTGTTCTAAAATTTATTCCTCTGGAAGAAAAGATGAGAATCCGTTCCTTATTTTTCCACTTGCCCTAAGGAAAAGAATATCACAGTTGTTTAAATCTCACACTGAATCTTTTTTTTAACAGTTTAAAGTGTATTTAGTTTTTTATGCATTCCACCATCCTGTAATGTATCAAGAACACCAGAGTAGCAATTTTGCCTCTTCTCCCATGTGTGTAATTCAGGGAACTGAGAGGTTTCACTGTAAATAGACAAAAAAATAAGCTCACTGAAGTATCCACTGTGATGTTTGTATACAGACCTCAATCTAGTAAATAAAATAATTTGTTTAAAATCTCTCCACTCCAGAAAGGAACCTCTCCAACTAATATGGCCAACTAACACCAGCATAATCTTTTTAAAGCACTGTTTTAATCACATCCTTACCTCCCAAAGGCTTTCAAAATAAAGTCCAAATGACTTAGCTTTAAAACTAAATTCTAAACTACATTTTCTTTTTCACCTTACTACTCCCAAAATCAACCATCCACATATACCAGTCTGGCTCTATTCTTTAGATTACAGCATCTTCCTACTTTAACACCTTTGATGAGGTCTTTTTCTCTCCACTGGACGGCTGCCTCCCATTTTTGAATATAAAAATCCTATTCTTCCTTTGACAGCCTACTCAAAGGCTAATTCCTTCATGATTCCTTACCTGATTATCCCAGAAGAAAAATAAACTCTATGCTCTGCACCTCCACCAACTTTACCATAGACACCATCATACTTCTTTTTAGCTCTTTAAAGGAAGAGTTAAAGGCACTAACATTTACTGAAAACCTACCAGAAGTCCAGTTTATTCTTCACAAAAAGTACATTTTCTTTCTCTTAATGTATAGATGAGAAAAGAGCTCAGAATATCAGTTAATGAATGGAAGGGATAGAATTTAACCCATCTTTCATTCTTCAGCATACATCTCTTTCCTAGAGCTTGTCACCACACCAAACAGGGCGCTTAATACCACTTATTCATACATTTGTCATTTACTTATCATCTACTATGTGCTAGGGTACTAAGCTAAACTCAAGGGACACAGAAATGAACAAATCAAAAGCAATTCTCTTCCTCACAGTACCTAGTCTAGCTTAAGGAGCTCTTGGTTAAATGAATTAAAGTCCAATAAGTTGTGTTAACCTTTTTAAGAATAAAAATCATCAACTTATGTGAGTTAATTCCTAGTTTCTTTTTAAACTCCAAAATTTAACAAGGAAGAGGTTCAGTCTAGTCACCTTTGCAATCCCAAGGCCAGTGCCTGGCCAATTAAAAGTTTGTTGACTACAGGTAGTCCCCGATTTACCATGAGTTCTGTTCAGACGACTTTGTTGTAAGTCAGTGCTGACGTAAGCTGGTTCCTCTTTTTTTTTTTAAGTTTTCATTATTATTGCCTTTATTATCAGGATCTTTATAAATCCGATCTTTGTCTTTGGGGGTTGGAAACATTACATATAAACTTACAGATATGATCGTATCAGCAAATTACGAGCTACAACGTTGTACATAGTATATACTACTAATGATAAAATGTAAAACAAAAACAAAAAATGGATGGTTGGTAAGTTCGGTTCCGTGTAACTTGAATATGTCGTAACAGTTGGGAACTACCTGTACATGTAAAACTCATATTATCCAGTCTAGCTTTCAATATATCTTATGAGTTTCACTTGATCAACGAAGTCAAAGTCACAGTTCCAATGACAGTAGCTTTTTAAAGCAGCACATAACAAGCTTTGGTATCCGTGACAGCGGCTAAAGAGGGCCACTAGGGCCGAATATGGGACTATTATTCGTAGGAAGGGAGTCCCTGGCTGGTGCAAAGTTAACGTGCTCAGCTGCTAATGAAAGGCTGGCAATCTGAAACCACCCAGAAGCCTGAGGGGAAAAAAAAAACTTGGGAAAATCTACTTCCGAGGTATTAGCCATTGAAAACCCTATGGACAACAGTTCTACTCTGACACACATGCGGTCGCCAAGAGTAGGCATCACAGGCAACCGGTTTGTTGTTGTTGCTGTTCTAATTACAGGAAAGGACATACTTAATACTGAGAAACAACCTTAATGAAAAGCACTATCATAAAAAAAAAAAAAAAAGTAACTAGAAGACAGAACACTGGAGCTGAGTTCCCCGTAAGTCGCTTCTTCCTGAGCCGGCTCCAAAGCCCGCCCAGTCCATCAGCGCGCCGCGTTGCCGAGACCGGCCACGTGCACGCGGCTTAGACGAGATAGTAGCGCTCAGTCGGGTGCAGAGAACAGCGGAGAGTTTCCGTAGCACAGGCATACTCCCAGCTTCGCTGAGCTGCAGGCGGGTAAGCAGCCCATGAGAAGGCGCGTGGAGCCGCGGAAGTCAGTGCAAGCCGAAGATACCTTTTACCTTGCAAACAGGACCTGGGATACGATCTCTATCCTCCTCCTCGGCCTCCTCTGCCGTGTCGTGCAGCTTAGTCGGCCGCTCGGCATCTTTTTTGTTCTTTTTTGGCTTCTTGGTCTGGATCGCCGGATCTCCACGCCGTTTCCTCTTGACCGCCGGCATCTTGTCTCACGGCCTTCGCTCTTCGCCTTCCTTCCGGCTCGGCCCCTCTCCCCTCTTTCCGATCTCTATGGTACCGTATGTTCAGGTCTCTGGTTTTCCTCCAGCTCTATGGTGACTCTTTCCGGTCTCTATGGTACCGTAAACTTGGCCCTCTAGTCGCCCTCCAGCTCTGCGGTTACGGTTGTCGAGGCGGGAAGCAGCTCTAAAGAGCTTGGGGAGCTGGGGGGAGTGACTCCACTTCCTTCACGGTTCCCGGGGCGCTAGGGCTCGCTTCCCCAGTGACCTGGCTGGGAGGAGCTCTCAGGCGTCCGGTCTCCACTCCAAAGGTAGGATTTCCGAATACCGCGACGCTTTTCCGTGGGCAGGCTGGTGAATGGGGTTGTCTGGGTCTTTTCGAGCATCGGCTGAGGAATCGGGGCTTGCCCCACTTCGCCTGTTCTGTTAGAGACGGGGTTTGTGGCGCGTGACGGCTCAGAACAGACCCTGTGGGGATAACGTAGCCTCTGTTTGGCATGACGAAACAAACTGGCCCCAAATAGAATGACTGTGTCAGTTGAGTATTTCCATTCTTCACAATTTTTCAGGTAGGTGTTATCCCGATGGTAAAGAGGAAACCGTAGTTTAGGCGAGTAATTTTTCCCAAAGTTGCAAATACAGTTAAGTGGCGGAGCTGGGGTTCGGACCCTGCTCTCCCGGTCAGTTCGACGCTTGGGCTGCTTCCACTTTGCCTCACCGCCCCAGCGTAGTTTGGGATCGCCGGGTCTCGCCAGTATTGACCGGTGTTTTGTTGTCGAATCTCGTCAGGTGTTTGGCGATCCGTGGGAGCAGGTGTTGGCCCTCCTCGGGGTCAAATGTGCAGGGGACAATGCCCCTCCTAACCCAACAGATCCAAGCGGAGGATGAGCAGTACAGCTTGGTGGCCAGCCTTGACAACGTTAGGAATCTCTCCACTATCTTGAAAGCTATTCATTTCCAAGATTATGCCACGTGTTTTGCTACTAAAAATGGAATCAAGGTTACAGTGGAAAAAGCCAAGTGTGTGCAAGCAAATGCTTTTATTCAGGTATGGAAGTAGGTACCTTTAAGCCTGTAACATAAGACATTGGTTACCCAGTTTAACGAATTCTGAAGGCCTTAATAGAGATAATTTAAGTTAAAGAACAAAATGTCGTGACTTGAACTCTTTCTCTCCTGGAAACAAATTCTTTTCACATCTTGTTTTACAGAGAGAATGGTTAATAATGACGAAAATCTGTTAAGCTAAGCTATAGGCCAGGCAGGCACTCTTCTGAATGCTTTATATGTTTAATTCATTTAATTCTCACAATAGTCCTATGAGATAGGCTGTTCTTCCCCCTTGTACGTATGTGGAAACTGAGGCACAGAGCGCTTAAGTGATTTGCCAACAGTCCCATAGCTGGTAACTGGTTTAGTATGAGAACCTAGAGCATTTAGCTTCAGAGTATGTGTTCTTTCAAAAACCCATTGCCGTCGAGTCGATTCCGACTCATAGTGACCCTATAGGACAGAATAGAACTGCCCATAGAGTTTACAAGGAGTACCTGGTGGATTCGAACTGCCAACGTTTTGGTAGCTCTTAACCACTACGCCACCAGGGTTTCCATGTGTTCTTTACCACTACATTATTCTAAAACTGAATCAAACCAAACCTTTTGCCGTTGAGTTGACTGTGACTCAGCAACCCTGTAGAACAGAGTAGAACTGCCCCACAGAGTTTTCAAGTCTGTAATCTTTATGGAAGCAGACTGCCACATCTTCCTGCCTCAGAGCAGCTGGTGGGTTCAAACCGCTGACCTTTCAATTAGCAGCTGAACGCTTAACCACTGCACCACCAGGGCTCCTCACTACATTATTACTACCACCTCCTTATTAAAGACAGCAATTAATTTTAAAAGATTTTCCTTTTATTGGTTGTAATAGTACTTATTTGTTCCTGTGAAGTGATATTTGTATGGTCCAGATAGGCTTTCAGATTCAATTCAGCATTTTTTGACACCTCAGTGCACAGCAGTGACCTCTGGAATGGAAGGATAAATGAGGCATGGTTCCTGTCCTCAAAAGAAGTTGAAAACTAATATCCTGCATGCATTATCAAATTGTTGGCTGTTTTCCAAGTGACCTCAGTGGTACTGATGGGCATGAAAAGATTAGGAAGAGTCATGTGGGGACTAGTTTTTAGATCCAGGAAGCTAGAAGATGTCCCCTTTGTAAAAGTTTTGCATGGAGCCTGAATCACTGCTATGCCTTTAGCCATTAGGTAGTAGTATTGTAATGAGTAATAGTTGAAAAAACTAATGTATTGATTGATAATCAGAATTTATTCTCATAGAGTTACTACAATATTGTTATGTTAAAACATATAAAGTGAAATCTAGAATCTTATGTGATTTGTCATTCTTTGACATAGACAATTATATTTCCACGTTTAATTTTTTTTATGTTTACTTTTTTCATAGGCTGGAATATTTCAAGAATTTATGGTTCAGGAAGACTCTGTTACATTTAGAATTCATTTAACAGTCCTTTTAGACTGTTTATCTATTTTTGGATCAAGTCCTATGCCAGGTGAGCCATTTTATTACCATTATAACATAACAAACAAACATTATACAGAATGGTCAGAAAAATACAAGAAAGTTATTTAGAATATAAACGTCTCTTTAGAAAATTAATCACCTTTTCATTTTTTTGGTCACAGTCATGGGTTCTGACTTTTCATAATATTAACAGAAACTGTGTTTATGATTTTTTTCATACTTGCCATAGTATTACATTGATCTTTTTTTTTTTTTTTAACAAGGATTCAGGGATTTTAAATTAAGACCTTGAACATGTCTTACATATCTTTAACTTTGTGAAATATGTTTTAATTGCTTCTTTTTCCTAATTTGTCCAGAAATACACAGCTACTTAGTGGCAGAGAAAAAAAGCTAATTCTCCTGACTCGCAGTTTACTATGTTTAAAGCTTGTTTGCTTTTTTCTTTAAGCCCTGATTTATTCATTGTTATGTCTGTTTCCCCAAGTACTTTCCTTTAAAATATATATTTTTTCATTGGCTTAGGGAATTATTTTCAGGAATGGTGAGAATCAGTTGCTATAGATATGAAACTACAAGGGATCCCCAGAAAATGATTTTATTTCATAGGAAAGGAATCTGGAGGTTAGCTGGGGAAAATTCAGTGATAGTTCTCTAGAAAATATATTCTATTTTATTAATTCCACTAGTATTACCAAAGTGTTTTAAATAATGCACTCATGTAAATAATGCATATGTACATATAATGTGCAGAGCACACCTAGGAAATAATGAGCAGAGGGGTTTCCTGGTTGGCGCATATGTATATATATATATATGTATGTATGTGTATATGTATATATATATATACACACACACAATGTGTGCATTATTTTTGTAAAACCATAGTAATCATTTTCTGATGCAGTGTTCCCTAGCTAGTTTTTCATGAACGCATCTGCCCTCCCCCATCTCTGACTGTGGCTCTCCATCAAGTAAGAGAAAGGAACTAGAATGTTCTGTCATATTTCTCCTTCCCTCTGATGTTTTGCAATGTTAAAGCTCACACCACTGTTAACCACCCTCCCTTTTTCACCAATTTGACTTTAAAATTCAAGGAAATGTAAAGAATATCTTCTAATAGGAAAGACTGGAGGATCCTTATCACAGTGAATACATTGACATTATGAAAAACCTATTGCCATCAAGTCAATTCTGACTCATAGTGACCCTATAGGACAGTAGAACTATCCCATAGGGTTTCCAGGAAGGCTGTAAATCTTTACAGAAGCAGACAACATTTTCCTGTGGAGTGGCTGGTGGGTTTGCACTGCCAGCCTTTCATTTAGCAACAAGCACTTAACCACTGCGCTACCAGGGCTCCTCACTGACATTATAGTACAGAAGATATCAAAAGCAATCCTCTGTTGCAGAAATTGAACTGTCAAGAAATAGCATAGCTTATTCAATAATTCTGTTGCTTGTAGTGATGGTCTGTGTAGATTGTCCATCCTGAAACTGTGTAAATTCAATTGTATATAAAATCAGTAAGCTATTTCTGAAGTGTTTTTGGCAAGCTAGAAAATGATTCAGAGAGTTGCATTACTTTGTAGTTCTGGTTCCCAGTTTTCTTATGGTTATTTTTGGAACTCTCTACACACAACTGTCATCAAGGAAAATGTAATCTCTTCTTATAAGGATAGGCTAGAAATTGGGTAAGTAAGTTTATTTTTGAGGAATTTTATGTGTCATTTAGAGTAGAAGCTGAATTCAGCTATAAAGCTAAGTCCCAGTGTGATTTATTTCAATTGTAGGCACTTTAACTGCACTTCGGATGTGTTACCAAGGTTATGGTTACCCTTTGATGCTCTTTTTGGAAGAAGGAGGAGTGGTGACCGTTTGCAAAATCAATACTCAGGAGCCTGAGGAGACTCTGGATTTTGATTTCTGCAGCACCAATGTTATTAACAAAATCATCCTGCAGTCAGAGGGACTCCGTGAAGCATTTTCCGAATTGGATATGACAAGTGAGGTCCTACAGATCACCATGTCTCCTGACAAGCCTTATTTCAGGTACTTGGAAAGCAGTGAATTATAGTTAATGTGGTCTATACTCCATTTCCTTACTTACACGTTTGCTTGGGATGGGAAATTTTTATTATCCAGGTTCCTAGAATTTTCAGAGCTTTAGAGAGCTTCTAATTCTACCTCATAATTTTACAGATCTGGAAACTTAAGACCCAGGAAGATTAACTCACTGAGGTTTTATAGTTAGGTAGTGTTGGTTTAAAGATGAGAAGTCTAGTCTCCTAATTCATAAACTAGTGGTCTTTTCATTGTTGTACTACTTCCTGTTGTTAGGTGCTGTTGAGTTGGCTCTGACTCGTGGCAACCCTGTGTACAACAGAATGAAACATGGCCCAGTCCTGCACCATTCTCATAATCATTGCTATGCTTGAGACCGTTGTTGCAGCCACGGTGTCAGTCCATCTTGTTGAGGGTCTTCCTCTTTTTCACTGGCCCCCTACTTTACCAAGCATGATGTCCTTCTCCAGGGACTGATCCGTCCTGATAACATGTCCAAAGTATGTGAGACATAGTCTCACCATCCTTGCTTCTAAGGAGCATTCTGGTTGTACTTCTTCCAAGACAGATTTGTTTGTTCTTTTGGCAGTCCATGGTATATTCAGTGTTCTTCACCAATACCACAATTCAAAGGTGTCAGTTCTTCTTTGGTCTTTCTTATTCATTGTCTAGCTTTCACATGCATATGAGGCGATTGAAAACATCATGGCTTGGGTCAGGCGCATCTTAGTCTTCAAGGTGACATCTTTGCTTTTCAACACTTTAAAGAGGTCTTTTGCAGCAGATTTGCCCAATGCAGTGCGTCTTTTGATTTCTTGACTGCTGCTTCCATGGGTGTTGATTGTGGATCCAAGTCAAATGAAATCCTTGACAACTTCAATCTTTTCTCCATTTATCAAGATGTTGCTTATTGGTCCAGTTGTGAAGATTTTTGTTTTTTTTTGTTGCGGTGTAGTCCATACTGAAGGCTGTGGTGTTTCATCTTCATCAGTAAGTGCTTTGAGTCCTCTTCACTTTCAGCAAGCAAAGTTGTGTCATCTGCATAAGGCAGGTTGTTAATGAGTCTTCCTCCAATCCTGATGCCCCATTCTTCATATGTCCAGTTTCTTGGATTATTTGCTCAGCATACAGACTGAATACGTATGATGAAAGGATACAACCCTGAGGCACACCTTTCCTGACTTTAAACCACCATGCAGGATCCCCTTGTTCTGTATGAATGACTGCCTCTTGATCTATGTACAGGTTCCTCATGAGCACAATTAAGTGTTCTGGAATTCCCATTCTTCACAGTGTTATCCATAATTTATTATGATCCACACAGTAAGACACAGGTAAATATCTTTCTGGTATTCTCTGCTTTCAGCCAGGATCCATCTGACATCAGCAGTGATATCCCTGGTTCCATGTTCTCTTCTGAATCTGGCTTGAATTTCTGACAGTTCCCTGCTGATACACTGCTGCAGCCACTTTTGAACGATCTTCGGCAAAGTATTACTTGCGTGTGATACCCATCTGTCAGTTTGTCATACCATGGGGGCTTGCATGTTGCTGTGATACTAGAAGCTATGCCACCGGTATTCAAATACCAGCAGGGTCACCCATGGCGGACAGGTTTCAGCTGAGCTTCTGGACTAAGACAGACTAGGAAGAAGGATCTGGCAGTCTACTTCTGAAAAAAATTAGTCAGTGAAAACTTCCTGTTGTAGATCAGGTTATATCATCAGGGAAATTGGATTTAAATTTTTGGTAAAGCTGTTTGTATTATAGATTATTTTTTTTATTTTTTTTTTCCTTTCCTTTCAAATAAATACAGAATACAAAGAGAAGTAGATGTCTTCTGTATGTGGTTCATTGTCTGAGTATCTATTGAGCATTAAGGAAAGGAACAGGTTAAAACCAAGGTAACGAGGAGATATGTATAAAAGAGCACAAAAAGTAATGGAATTGCATGCCATTAAATACCAAAATAATATACATAGACACCTGAGGGATACATAGGTATTTAGGACTAGTCAAGGTTAGCTTCCTATGGAGGGCAATTTTCAGTAGGAATATAATGTCAAAAACCATCAAACTGTTCCTAATATTTTGACCCAACAAGTGTAAAATGGTAAGTCTCTTTTTAGGATTGGAATCCATTTAGATAGAGGATCTATCTAGTATTTTTTTTTATTTTTTGGGGGGGCGGATATTTGAAAAAGTAAAGGAGTTACATACATGAAGAATGAGGTTTGAAGTTTTTTTACTTCAGGGAATTGAATAAACCCATTGCTGTCGAGTCAATTCCAAATCATATCAACCCTATGTGACAGAGTAGAACTGCCCCATAGAATTTCTAAAACTGTAATCTTTACAGAAGCAGATTTGCCACATTTTTATCTGATAGAGTGGCTGGTGGATTTGAGATTTGAACTGCTGACCTTTTGGTTAGCAGCCAAGCACTTAACCACCGCACCACCTGGGCTCCTCTAATGGCATAGGACAGTTAAAAACTTGGCTTAAGGTCTGTGAAGTTATCAGTTGACCGGTATGTAAACTAGTGGAATACTTACTTAACCAGTGGTATGTATTAAATGGTTTAAAATCAGAAAAGATATGTGTCAGGGTTGTATCCTCTCACCATACATATTCAGTCGGTTGAACAAATGATTTGAGAAGATGGACTATATGAAGAACGACATGGAATCAGCCTGCAGTATGTCAAGGATTTCATTTGACTTGGATCTACAATCAACACCCATGGAAGCAGCAGTCAGGAAATCAAAAGATGTATTGCATTGGGCAAATCTGCTGCAAAAGACCTTTTTAAAGTGTTGAAAAGCAAAGATGTCACCTTGAGGACTAAGGTGCACCTCATAATCATGCAAAAGCTAGACAGTGAATAAGGAAGACGGAAGAAGAATTGACATCTTTGAATTGTGGTGCTGGCGAAGAATATTCAATATACCATGGACTGCCAAAAGAACAAACAAATCTGTCTTGGAAGAAGTACAACCAGAATGCCCCTTAGAGACAAGGATGGTGAGACTACGTCCCACATACTTTGGACATGTTATCAGGAGAGATCGGTCCCTGGAGAAGGACATCATGCTTGGAAAAAATGGAGGGTCAGCGAAAAAGAGGAAGACCCTCAAGGAGATGGATTTACACAGTGGCTGCAACAATGGGCTCAAGCATAGCAACAATTGTGAGGATTACACCGGACCAGGCAACGTTTCGTTCTGTTGTACCTGGGGTCGCTATGCATTGGAGCCAACTCAACAGCACCTAACAAAAATGAATTAAGGAGACTTCCGGCAAGATGGCGCTCTAGGCAGAAACACCACGCCGTCCCTCCACAACAAAGATCCGAAAAACTAAGCCAAACAGAGAATCAACAATCCTGAAACCCTAGAACATCAAATGAAGAGATAAAGAACT